CTGGAGACACAAAGATGAATAAAGTAGGACACCTGTCCTAATGGAGGTCATGGGACATCAGGGAGCCAGGCAAGTGAAGAAACAATCATTAAAGGAAAAAAAATCACAGAGAAAAGAATGGACAAATTAAACTGCCAACTTTTGTACATCAAAAATAAATCATTAACACAAATATGGCTAAAGAGCAAATCTGGGAGACACTCAGAACAAATACGACCTAAAGAAGTATTTTAATATTTGAATAAAGAGCTCTTGTAAATGGATAAGAAAAACACCATCACCCATGAAGAGTTCAACTGTGTTACTGTTCAAAGAAAGAAATTCAAGCAACAGTGTCTTTATGCCTTTAAAAAAAATCTGTGGATGCAGGGATTTTTACCATTATGGGACAGGGAGAGTATAATGGACATTCCATTATAATGTTGGTAGGCTGTGTTAATTAAATTATCTTTTCTGGAATTAATCTGCAATATGTACATAGAGGTTTAAAATTTCACTTCTTTCGGCCCAGCAATTTTGCTTCTAAGCGTCCGTTCTAAGAGAATAAGTGGGTATGTGGACAGAGATTAATGCACAATTAAGTTTGCCACATTGTTACTTATAATAGGACTTTTTAAAACTACCACGTAACCCAGTAGTAGGGGGTTGGATGGTTATATAGTTTGTTGTACATCCTGACAGGCCATTTTGCTATCCTTAGAAGCAGAATTCCTAAAGAATGTTGAGTAGTGGCCAAGTCAGATGTAATAGAAGAAAGAGCTCAACTGTGCAAAAAGGAGAAAAATAGTGGAAGCAAATGCTTATACTCTCATTTATACACTTTATTTCCCCACATTTTGACACTGAGTATGCATTGTACATAATCAGGGAAATATTGATAAATAAAACCTAAGAATTGTATGGGTAATCATAATGAAATGCGAAGTCAGATTTATAAAAGCAAAGAGAGGTTTCCAGGAGATTGATCAATTAATTTCACTTGATGAGTCAGGCAGAGAAAGCTGGAAATAAGAGATAGATTTTAAGGACTGAAATAAAATCTGCCTCGAGGATAAGGGAAAGAAGGTCATTCCATTTCGTGTTGCGCAAATGACAGAAGCATAAACATACCTGGCATGTGGAAGGAATGAAATTGATCTGGTGTGACTGGACCATGCACTCTGCAGGGCAGAAGGCTCAGTTGAATCAAGAAAGGTGAGAGACTCCAGGCTGTGAAAGGCTTTCCATTTTGAGGCCATGCTAAGGAGTTTAAGCATCAAAACCTAATCACAGAATCTGGGAGACTCACAGCTGAGTGCTGATTGGAAAACACAGACACATACATACACAAGGGCACACACACACAGGGTGAGATGAATTTCACTACAAGTAGCAAAGTAAAAACATAAATATATACACAAATGTGTATGTTCAGAAAACATCTTGGGGGAAAATTAATGTTTTTCTCTGTGATAAAAACCATGGTAGGAAAAAAATAACATACTTTAAGTTCTACTATTTTTTTTTTCCTATGGCTTACTCTTTCTTGTCTTTCAAGATTCCTTATCCTTAAATAAATCTGTTGGAGAGGTTTTTGTGGCCAACTATCCTATAGCAGCTGTTCCTTCCTATTTGTTATCTATTAGTAATCACTAATTAGATTATAAGCTTCATGCAGACAGCGAGATTTATTGTATAAGCCATCGTATCCCCAGCACCTGATATACATTTACAGTGCATGCATATTAATAGTTGCTGCCTGGGGGCACCTGTGTGGCTCAGTCAGTTAAGCATCTGACACTTGATTTCAGCTCAGGTTATGATCTCATGATCAAGCCCCTCATCCAGCTCATCTCAGAGTATGGAGCCTGTTTGGAATTCTCTCTCTCTCCCTGTGTCACTGCCCTTTCCCCACTTGTTCTTGCTCTATCAAAATAAATACACTTAAAAATAAATAGTTGCTGCTTGAATAAATTTCACAATGTCCCTGCACACGGAAGGCTTTGTCAAAATTCATGAAGTTGATGACCGTGTCTGGAGCCTCACATGACTGGAGCACTCCGAGTCTGTAGGAATAAGTGCAGGAACTGGGCTGATGTCACTTTTCACTTACAAGCTGATGTTCCTTTTGAAATCGTTGTTAGGCTTGGGGACAAAGAACAGCCAGTTAATGCATTGCTTGAAGTCAGGTAGTCAGCAGCTCTGGGTTCTAGGTTAGCCTCTGCCACAAATTCCCCCAATAGTGTTAGTTCGTTTCATTCCCTAAGTTTTCTCCCCTGTGCTCTGAGGAGCTGAACTTGGGCGGAGTTACTGATCCCAGGATCCCCACCGCAGGAACCTCTATTTCTTTAAAAAAAATTTTTTTTAACGTTTATTTATTTTTGGGACAGAGAGAGACAGAGCATGAACGGGGGAGGGGCAGAGAGAGAGGGAGACACAGAATCGGAAACAGGCTCCAGGCTCTGAGCCATCAGCCCAGAGCCCGACGCGGGGCTCGAACTCACGGACCGCGAGATCGTGACCTGGCTGAAGTCGGACGCTTAACCGACTGCGCCACCCAGGCGCCCCAGGAACCTCTATTTCTTACCTGGCTCGACTGTGCAAAGTTCAGCAGAAAGCAGCACCTGATAAATGCTTGATGATTTATTGATTGAAACATCTATTAGATTAGAATTATTTATATTTTGAGATTGATAACACCATCATAAAAAGTTTCTGGAAAAAAAATATATATCAGTTTCTCCCAGCATGATGGGAGAGTTTTTTCAACTGTGTTTTAATAGGGCAATCCGTGGTTTCCTTTGGGGACTCTCTATGCCTTTGTTAGGGTAATGGCATAACACAAAGTAGTGTCTTCACTGAGGCTAATACCGAAGGTATTCTGTCGCTACTGATACATTAAATGTGCCTGCTGCCACCAGGAGTATTAATGCATCACATGTCTCAAGCATTGGACAGAGGTTTTGAGCTCAATAAATACATGCATGTTTACTCACTAGTAGAGATCTGTGAACTGTTTTTCTACACATGAAGATAGCAGAGTGAGAGCAAGAAACTATGTAGTCTTGCAGACAAACACCATCACAGACTTAGCTCCCTGACACTACCAGCATCAGGGAGAGTGGTTTGACTTTTATACGTTGTCAGAATATGTATAGGAAAGAAATGTCCAGAAGTATGAATGCCATAATTTGCTTTCAGTCATAATGCATCTCCTGGGGGTGGGGAAGGGATTGCTAGAGCAAGTGATTATAGCCTGAGAATCAGAGGATCAACATAATTGCCACCTTCTGCTTCAGAAACATTCAAACTAAACAACTTTGTGTTTCCATATCTGTGAATGAAGCCAACGCGGGTGTTAAGCACACAGAGAACGTACAGATGCATTTCTGGCTAACGTAAATTGAAGTGAAGGTGTCTGAGAAGAGTCTGCTTTATCCTTGATAGGCAGAAGTAAGATGCTGCAAAATCTTCAGGATGAACAGAATAGCAAACTCTATGATGTTAAAGTTGTTTTATATATCCCATCAAATATTTGTGAAACTTGATATGGCTGAGTTCTGTAGCTGTGTAACGGCTTAATATTTAATTTAAAGGGATTTCCTCCGTTAAGCATATAGTGTTGATTGTGAAGCCTGTATAGTTCCTTTGAAGGTACTTTATAATTCACTTTTTCTTTGTCTTGACTACACGAAACATGTTAGGAGACGATGTGTGTGGGATGGAACAGTTGCTAATTTTATTTTTCCCTTTTTCTTTTCTCAATTACCATTGTGTTTTTGCCATTAGAGTACCACTTGTATAATTAGACCAGGCAGTTTCCTCATTTCTATTATTAAGTATTCTCTTTACATTAAATTTTAACTTTTGTGCCTGAATAATAAACCTTTTTTTCCCCTGAAGCCAAGGAAGGGGGATGCAAACATGCAATGAGTTTCATTTTATCCACGTGTAATCACCACTAAAAGATGCTTATACCCATTTTCTCCTCCGAAAAGAAAAACTGATATTTAGAGAGATTAAGTGATTTTCAAGTTCAGATGTTGGGATGGTAAGAGTCGGAAGTTATACCTGCTGGTGTGTTTACTTCTTAGTGACCTTTGCATGGAGTGTTTGCTTAGGAACCGAAGCCTACGGGATTTTTTTGCACTCGCACATAATCCAGTGCAGTGAAAAGTGTACAGAATGTGCAGTCAGGCAGGTATGGATTCCATTTATGTCCCTGATAACTCCCTGGATGCCTGTTGCTGGGTTGCTTAGGCTCTTGAATCTCAGTTGCCCCTTGAAAAAAAAGGGGGTGCAGCAGAACTCTTTCCGAGCGTCTGTGGCATTAGAAATACCACACACTCCCAGGACGGGCTCGATCAGCGAGAGCTGTTCTTGTCTCCATCTTTTTCTCCACCTATCCTCCTTTTTTTCAGGCTGTGAGCCATTGATGGAGGTTATTGATGGCTTCTCCAGGTGAGGAAGCAGCTCAGCGAGCCTCAGAGAGGGAGGGTTTTCTTTTTTGGTCTGTCGGCATCACCCTGTGAATGAGAAAAGAACAAGCGAAGACAGCCATGCCTCTCAAGCTAGGATGCAGGAACTGGAAGAGGGGTTTGTAGGAGATAAATCAAAGAAAATTGTCTAGAATTGGTACAAACGAAATTTGAGCTTAACAAGTGCTGGAGTGGTGAGGCAGGATTTGTGCTCCTTTTGCTGAAACACAATTACTGTACTTCACAGGGGGAGGCAGCTTGTTGGCAGACTCTCAGAGGCACGGGTGCACTAATCTCATTCTTCCTGGGACCCTAGACTCCTAGCCCTTCCCAAAGGCAGAGCGCTAGGCAGTCCCAGTCAATGCCATTTCTTTCTTAACCCACCTCCTTCCCCAAAAATAATAGGTACTGTGTGTTGAGCCCCACCTATAAACCAGCTGTGGGGTACACTAGGCACTTGATTACACCAAGGGGAGATTACACATAAGGGTACCTTCATGGGACTTCTTATTAATGTCCAACTTCCTAGGTGCGTTTTTTGGACTTTGGGAAACGTACCTATTACTCACGTATCCTATATACATATGTGTGAGTTATCTCACAACAATAATATAACCTTCCTTAGTGACCTTCTTTAAACCAATCTTAATGATAGCCCCGGGAATATGACCTCATCATCTCCATGTTATAGATGAGACCGGGAATATGACCTCATCATCTCCATGTTATAGATGAGACCATTTATGCGGAGAGGTTAAACAACTGCCCGAGGTCACACCGCTAATCCATTCAATGCCATGTCTGTTACACTGGCTTTGCAGCCGCAGCAGCAACTGTCCAGACACAGTATCCTGGGAGCACCAGGCTGTGTCCATTTCATCAAGACAGATAAATCTTCAGGGATGTATTACTTGTTAGAGGTAGATTCTCCTGAAATACTCTTTTGCCATACTGTGAAAGGCAGTGATTCAAAGATCCTTGCCAAGGGATCATCATAAATCCTGTTTAGACAGAGAAATCCCTAAAGGAAGAAGGGTTCTTTGCAGTGGCCCACAGCCTGGAGCAGGAGTGTCCAGAAGAGGAAAATTTGCAACAATGCTTGAATGGGAGCCAAGGGGCTTGTTTACATTCACAGTGACACAGATGTCCCGAAAGTAGGATTTGATGAAGAGTGCCCCCTCGCCCCACATGGAGAGTGGGGGAAGGGTTTTCTGGCAGTGTTGTCTAAGAGGCCACAGTCACGTGTGGATTCCTGTGATCCTCTGCCTGAGTGGCTGTTTCTCTTTCAGAGATAAGCAAGTCTGTCTGCTGTTCTACCCCTACCACAGTGAAAATTAGAGTTCTGGCTGATAGCTGTTTCCTTCAGACCTCTGCCCCTTCCCTCTAGTCACGCTGGCAGAGCAGTCTGGCAATGCACACCCCCACATGGTGGGAAGGTGAGCAGATTACCAGCCACACAAGCTAGGATCCACCATGTGGAAGACACAGGGCTCTGGGCTGGAGGCTGTGGGATGCGGGGGAGGCAAGCAGGGGAGAGAGAGGGAGAGAGAGAATGTGTGTGTGTGTGTGTGTGTGTGTGTGTGTGTGTGTGTGTGTGTACAGGGATGCTCAATTCCTTTCTCAAGGATACCCCCAGGTACATATTTTAATAAAAATATTAACCGTTTCTTCCACCTAAGGATGGAAGATGATTGACTAATTCCCTAATAAGTTTTGCATTACTCAATACAATAATTAGGAAAGGTTTCTAAAGAAAAGATACTATTTGGAACACACATATGCATTCTGAGAAAGGCTTGGACTTGGCAATAGAAGAGAAAAATTACAAACAAGGGTATATCTGCAGGAGCTTCTTATTAATGGTCAACTTCTTGGGTGCTTTTTTTTTGGACTTTGGGAAAAGTCATTTTTCATGTATCTTACATTTGTATACATGAATTGTCTCAGAGCAATAATCCTGTAAGGTAGATACCATTGGCATCACATTCCAGATAGAGAAACCAAGGGTCAGAGAGATTAAGTCACTTGCTTGAGGTAGCACAGCTAGTAAGTGACGGGACCTTCATCTGACCTGCGTCTTTAAAGTCCAGAGCTTTGTGTTCTTGTTTGTCCCTTAGAGTTTTTTGTTTGTTTTCTGTGTGGTTTTTTTTTTTTTTTTTTTTTTTTTTTAGTTTATTTACTTATTCTTTGAGAGAGCAGGAGAGGGGCAGAAGGAGAGGGAGAGAGAATCCCAAGCAGGCTTCACACTCTCAGCACAGAGCACGATGCGGGGTCGAACTCACAAACCGTGAGATCATGACCTGAGCTGAAGTCAAGAGTTAGACACATAACCCACTGAGCCACCCAGGCACCCTGTCCTTTGGAATTTTAATGAAGGGGGGTGAAAGATGGCTGATTCAGGTATACTGAACTTTTATTACTCATTTGCAGTGCTAACCAATGCACAGCTCCATCCCCTGTGACATTCCTGCCCCTGCTTTCACAACCAGGCAGAGGAACAAGGGAAATAGAGAGTTAAATGAACTCCCCCAAAGGGCAGTCACTAGGAGTCAATGGGTATTTGCTCTATTGTATTTGTTTGATTTAGAACAAAACAAAACAACAAATGTTCCCTGCCTCTGGGTCCAAGGATTTAGCTTCAGATTTAACAACAGCAGTTCCCATGAATAATGAAAGAGTTTCCAAGTTGTCTGCAAACAACCAGGACATCAAAGAGACACACGGAAATGAAACTCAGGTGTTTACTTCCCCTTGCCGGTGTCCCAAGCCTCAGCAGCATCTTGGCCATCACCTGGGCACTTACTGGATATGCAGCACCTCAATCCCCTGTCTCAGACTTTCTGGAGCAGAATCCACATTTTAATAAGATCCCCAGGTGACCTAACAGTGGGAGAGGACTCTCCTAGGAAAGAATGCTAGGAAAGAGGAATACTTAACCTCCAGGGCTGGGATGAAGTGAGTGAGCCCCTCCCTCCAGGTCCATAATTTAAGAGTTCCAAAAAAAAGGCAGCGATCAACGTGAGCAATATTTAATGTGATATCTTCAAAATGCTTCTTAAAGTGTTTTTTTAAAGGTACCTGGAGACCTCCTTTCTGGCTCCTTGTGGGAGGGGGTCTGGGAGCTTTGGTTTCCGTTTTCTTTAAGTGTTCTAACTTTTCAGCAAGTGAAGTTGCATGGAGTTTTTTCCATTTCGATCTGCATACCTCAATTTATATCATTAGCTTTTGCACAACTGTGATTATACACAACGAATGCTGCATCATAACCTGAACGTTTAAGCTCCAAGTTCAGTTCGGCTGCCAAACATAGATCATGCTAATGATGATGCTAATGATCGAGGTAGGTGGCATTTATCGAGGGCTTGCTAGATGCTAAGTGCATTACATGCAGTAACTTACTCACTTTTTACAAGAACCCTATGAGGGAGATAGTGTTTTAATCTCCATTTTAGTGATGAGGAGACGGAGGTCCCCAGAAGCGGGATAGCTTGTCTGAGGGTAGAAGGAGGTAAAATTCCTACGTAGGCAACTTGCTTCCAGACTCATTACTTCTTCACGAATGTAGAGTAGAACAGCGTGAAAAGAATTTATATGATATTCAAGGTTCTAAGCCAAATGTATGCACGTGGTTTTTTTTTTTTTCTTCAGCATTAGGTTGCCAAGGTTTTTATTTTGAAAATCTGCCCCTTTTATACATTTTTTATGTTAAAATGTTTTTTAAAATAATGAATGAGAGTCATACGTGATGGTAATTGCCTTTTAGAAATATCTGTAAAATTTTGGCTGCCATTTTCTTTTTAAGTGGGCCAGGAGGGCAGGGGAGAAGAGGCTCTTAGTTCTAGGGAAGGCAGATAACTCAGGATTCCCCCTGCTGTGCTGGGGGCACTAGGGAGCCCAGGTGGGGGATCTTGGCCCCACCCCGTCCCTCTCTGTGCTTCTGCTCTGCCTCTGGGGCTTGTGTCTGTGCAGGACTCATTAGCAGTGGGTGTGTGTCTCATCACAGTGGCTCATTCACAGGGCTCCCAGCCTCGCCAGGGAGCGGGCCGCCTCTCTGGCTGTCCTAGGAGGCCACTGCTCCGGGCTGTCCAGAGCAAAGCTGGGCTGCACCCTCTCACGGCCCTGTAGCGTCCAGTGTCCTCACAGGAGATGCCCTAAGATCAGAGAAGAAAGGAATCTTTTGGAAATGGCACTGTCACCCTGCAAAGAAGATTCTAGGTGGTCAACAGCTGCTCGGTGACCTTTGTGGCGGTGGAGTGGGTAGGCACAGGGTTTAACGAGCCTGGCCTCTCCATCCGCCATCCTGAGTGCAGGTGCCAGTGACACCGCCCAGCCCGGACGAGGGAAGGGAACAGTGACACAGAGATCCCGGCAAAGGGCACTGGCTGGCGTGGACACCACTTTAGGACGGCAGTGCTGTTTTAGTTATGTCTTGCCCCATGGTGTAGCGCTCTGTCCTCCGTCACGCACTCGCTGTGACTACATTTCCTCTCAGGTCCATCTCCATCTGATTCAGGCTTTGTTTTGAAGTCCAGCTTTGTCGCTGCTGCCAGAAGCATGCCTCAGTGGCTTGGCATGAACCGTTGATCCTATCTTAGGAGTTTCCAAAAGTTTGTTCTGGTCTCTCTGAGAGGAGTAGCATGGACGGGGCCCCACTGCCAGACTGTAGAGTCTGGGGACACGTGCTTGGGGCACGGTTTCCATCTTCCGTCTTTGTCTGGTCTCCTTCTCATTAAATCTTCTAGGTCTGTGGAGTTGACTATCAATTGGTGCCTGACCTAGTTACAGAGAGCCACTACATTACCCTGTGCTCATCATAATAAATGGATTATAACAGTTTGTTCCTATGATTCAAAGTGCACTCTGTTATTTTAGACTCATTTCTCCCTCCTGGGACTATGTGTGTGCATGTGAATGCACTTGTGTGTGTGTGTGTGTGTGTTGTGTGTGTGTGTGTGTGTGTGTGTTGTGCAGCTGCCCAAATGAAGGCTGACATTTTCCGTTGCTATGTTGAGACTTTGCTTTTGGACCACAGACCTGTGGCTTTGCATGGAATAGTTAATGGGCTTCCTGGTTTCCCTGAATTGATCCCCTTTCATTGTCTATTTGGAGCACTTTCCCTGGAGCACGGATTCTCACGTTTTCTGCTCTTGGTGTCAGCTCTGTTTGTCTCTCTTCTGCCAAAGGGCACCACGGAGTTACTCAAAGGACCTTTGGAACTGTTTGTTCAGTGAATGAAGAGCTCAGTTGGGGTAGTTTCTGGGACAGCACATGCTTCAATTGGTTCCTGCTGCAGCATTGCTGGGCCATGACTCAGGCATCTGGCTTTTGCCTCTGCTGATCTCAGAAGCCACATGGGAGGCTGACTTTGTTGGTATGTCCCAGAGTCCGTGACCTTTTCATCATTGTACCTTGCATTTTGAAAGATACTCCCCCCAAACAAACTGTATTTATAAAGTAATAACCAATCTGTGTTCTCACTTTTAATTAATCATATGTACATAATTGCCAATCAGAGCTTCTAATCAGTATGAGTTAATCAGTGTTAACATTTATTTATTTTATGAAGCACCTTCTATGTGACTGACCTATGCCAGGTGCTAGAAACAGAAAAGTGAACAAGATTCAGTCTAGACAAGGGCTTCCAGTATATCCTATTTTTGTTAAGTTATCATTTTAATTTGGGTAAATGTATTGAGCACCTTCTGTGTGTCTGGGGCAGAACTGAATGTCTCACATATATTATCTTCACTAATCTGTGAGTTAGGTCCCACAGCCACTTTTCAAGCAAGGAAACTGATCCTCATAGAGTTGAGTCATTTGCTCCAAGACATACATTTAATTACAAAGCAGAGGCAGGATTTGAACCCAGGATTGTCAAACCCTAAAACCTTCCCATGGAGGTTATAGTTAACAACTCCTTGCTTGTTTCTTTCTCTCTCCTTCTGGACAGGTGTTTGGTTTTGTGGGCAGGTGGGGGCCCTATGTTCTTTTCAGGCTCTCTGGCTTCTGGCTTAGTTTCTTTCCCCCCAGTTTTACTTAGATATAATTGACATGTAACATAATGACTTGATGTATGTGTAGTTTTTTTGTTTTGTTTTGTTTTTTTTAATTTATTTTTGGGACAGAGAGAGACAGAGCATGAACGGGGGAGGGGCAGAGAGAGAGGGAGACACAGAATCGGAAACAGGCTCCAGGCCCTGAGCCATCAGC